TCTCAGGTACTGTGTCGGCTTCGGCCTCTCACACCTTCACCCTTGACTCTGGAGCGTCTCGCTCCTTCTTTAGGGACCGCACCACTCTCACGCCGCTAAGTCGGCCGGTTGCGGTGTCCCTGGCTGACCCCTCTGGGGGGCCTGTCCTGTCTCGCTTCTCCACTGTCCTCCCGTGTCCGGCGGCCCCCTCTGGCACCCTGACTGGTCTCTACCTCCCCTCGTTCTCGACGAACTTGGTGAGTGGTGCTGACCTCCAGGATGCGGGTGTCCACCAGTTCACCCCTGCTCGTCAGCGGGTGACCCACTGCACGGAGGCGGATACAGGTCGCCACCTGGCTACGTTTAAACGTCGGCCAGGGTCGAGCCTGTACACACTGACCACTGCTTCTCCTCCAGGTGCTACGTCTGGTGGGGTCCCTTCGTCTGGTCAGGTGTTTGCCGCAGCGTCCAGGTCTGGTCCTGAGTCTGCCCCCTGCTCGTGTCGTCGTCTGTCTCACGAGACCCTCCTCTGGCACCACCGCCTTGGCCACCCCTCTCTGCTTCGGCTCAGAGGCATGGCCTCGCGAGTCCTTGTGTCTGGTCTTCCCCGGTCTCTCCCTCCCCTTCCTCCGGGCCCTGGCCCTACCTGTGTCCCCTGTGTCGAGGGGCGCCAGCGTGCTGCCCCTCACTCCTCCCAGTTTCCTCCGACAGAGGCCCCTTTGCAGACGCTTCACATGGACGTGTGGGGCCCAGCCCGCGTCCGTGGACAGGGTCAGGAGCGCTACTTCCTGCTGGTGGTTGACGACTACTCGCGTTACACCACAGTCTTCCCCTTGCGCAGCAAGGGTGAGGTCACTGAGGTGTTGATCGACTGGATCCGCGCAGCTCGTCTCCAGCTTCGGAGGAGCTTTGGCTCTGACTTCCCTGTTTTGCGTCTGCACTCGGACAGAGGCGGAGAGTTCTCCTCTGGCCTCCTGAGTGCCTACTGTCGTGCGCGAGGCATCCGTCAGACCTTCACGCTTCCGGACTCACCACAGCAGAATGGGATTGCTGAGCGCCGCATTGGCATGGTCATGGACGTCGCTCGTACGTCCATGATGCATGCGGCTGCTCCCCATTTTCTGTGGCCGTTTGCGGTCAGGTACGCTGCGCACCAGATCAACCTCCACCCCAGGGTCTCTCGACCGGAGACCTCCCCAGCCCTGCTGTGGACGGGGAAGGTTGGCGATGCGTCGGCGTTCCGGGTCTAGGGATCTCGGGCGTTTGTTCGCGACCTGTCTGCGGACAAGCTGTCCCCTCGTGCTTCTCCCTGCGTCTTCCTAGGGTTCCCCCCCGACGCCCCTGGGTGGCAGTTTTACCACCCCACCTCTCGACGTGTTCTGTCCTCCCAGGACGTCACGTTCGACGAGTCGGTACCCTACTACTGCCTCTTCCCCTACCGCACTCCGTCCCTCCCCCCACCCCCGCTCTTCTTGGTACCAGGTCCCCCCCCGGTAGTCCCCCTCCCCCCTCAGGGTCCTGCCCCTTCAGGTGTGTCCCAGGTAGACGCGGTCGAGCCTGTCGAGGTCACTGGTGACTCTGGTGCTGCTGCGGGAGCTGAGCCTGGGGGTGCGGAGTCTGGGGGTGCTGAGCCTGGGGGTGCTGAGCCTGGGGGTGCTGTGCCTGGGGGTACTGAGCCTGGAGGTGCCGAGCCTGGGGGTGCTGTGCCTGGGGGTGCTGAGCCTGGAGGTGCCGAGCCTGGGGGTGCTGTGCCTGGGGGTGCTGTGCCTAGGGGTGCTTCGTCTCGCCGGGAGCCACTCTCCCCACAGGAGCTGCGTGAGTGGTTTGCCAGGCGCTGGAGGCGTGCTGCTGGTGCTGGTGGTTCTTCGGCTGCAGAGGGTACTGCTGCCGCGCGTCCCGCCGGTGCTCGTACTGTGGGTGCTGGAGCTGCTGGGTCTGAGAGTTCTCCTGGAGCTCGTACTGCTGAGGGTGTTGGCGCTGAGCCTGCCGTTGGCGGTCCGACTGACCGTGCTCCTGGTGCTGCCGCTGGAGGTTCTGGAGCTTCTGGTGGTGCTGCTGGAGGTGCTGCTGGAGTGGGTACTCCTGCCGGGGCTGTTGGTGCTGTTCCTGCTGTTTCTAGCGTCGCCGCGCGGCCCCGACCGTACTTCGTTCCGCTCCTGCAGCAGGTTCTTGGTCTTACACCTCCTCCTCCTCCCTTAGAGGGTCCGCAGCCTGTCCGGTCACAGCCACAGCTACAGCCTGCCTCCCCTTTGCCTGCTCCTTCTCCCTACGCTGGTCCGACTGGAGGTCTTACTGAGCGTCGTGAGCCTGCGTCTCGTCCTGTGTCGCCTGTTCGTACTGAGCGCGCTAGTGGTCGCGGGTCGCGTCAGCGTCCTCCTCCTGTCCCTGGCACGCACCGGATGTCACTGCGTCCGTCCACTGCTCCTCTGCGTGCCCCTTTGCCTTCTCCTCCTGCTTCCTCTCTTCCTGCTCTTGCCGACCCGGAGTCGGACTCTCTTCGTGCTGCCAGTCCTACTGTCACGCGTCTCCTTGCTACTGCTGTCACTGACCCTTCCTTCGAGTCGTCTGCTGCGTCTGCCCTTGTCACTGAGCTTGTCGACTTTGCTGCGCGCTGTCGTCTAGACTACGCTGCTTGTCTTGTCACTGAGTCTGAGTCCGCCTGTCCTCCGTCCGTCGGGGATGAGTGTGCCCTTGGCACGGACGTCCTTGAGGACAGGCAGGAGGAGTTCCAGTGTCTGGCCGCCGCTTCACCTCGTCTCGCGTCTGTACTGCTAGCCCCTGAGGGAGACCCGGATGCACCAGACATCCCGACTCCGCGCTCTTACGCGGAGGCGATAGAGGGTCCTTACTCCTCTCAGTGGCAGGCAGCTATGGATGCAGAGATGGCTTCCTGGAAGTCCACAGGCACCTACGTTGACGCTGTTCCCCCTCCTGGGGCGAACATCGTCAGTGGCATGTGGATTTTCAGGGTGAAGCGGCCGCCGGGTTCTCCGCCTGTCTTCAAGGCGCGTTACGTGGCTCGTGGCTTCAGTCAGCGGCAGGGGGTTGACTACTTTCAGACCTTCTCCCCCACCCCGAAGATGACCACTCTTCGGGTTCTGCTGCACGTTGCTGCTCACCGTGACTACGAGCTGCACTCTCTCGACTTCAGCACAGCTTTCTTGCAGGGCAGCCTGCACGAGGAGATCTGGCTGCGTCGCCCACCTGGCTTCACTGGGTCTTTCCCTCCTGGTACCCAGTGGAGTCTCCGGCGTCCAGTCTACGGTCTCCGCCAGGCGCCACGTGAGTGGCACGACACACTGAGGACTACGCTCGCGGCACTTGGGTTTGCTCCTTCTACTGCCGACCCGTCGCTGTTTCTGCGCACCGACACCTCTCTGCCGCCGTTCTACATCCTCGTGTACGTCGACGACTTGGTCTTTGCCACAGCTGACACTGCTGGACTCGCCTACGTGAAGTCCGAGCTGCAGAAGAGACACACGTGCACTGACCTGGGTGAACTGCGCAGCTACCTTGGCTTGCAGATCACCCGGGACAGAGCACGCCGCACCATTACCCTGACTCAGTCACACATGGTGCAGCAGGTCCTTCAGCGCTTCGGCTTCACGTACTCCTCGCCTCAGGCCACTCCTCTGCCTACTCGCCACTCGCTCTCAGCTCTGCCTTCGGATGAGTCCGTAGAGTCGAGTGGCCCGTTTGCAGAGCTTGTTGGCTGCCTCATGTACCTGATGACCTGCACACGACCTGACCTCGCATACCCTCTTAGCATTCTTGCACGCTTTGTTGCTCCTGGGAGACACCGACCAGAGCACATGGCTGCAGCGAAGAGGGTGTTGCGCTACTTGTGCAGTACGTCGGGCATGGGGCTAGTGCTTGGAGGGCGCAGTCCAGTGGTCCTCACTGGGCACGCAGACGCTTCTTGGGCTGACGACCAGGCTACGCAGCGGTCGTCACAGGGTTACACCTTCAGCCTTGGTTCCGGCTCTGTCTCGTGGCGGGCTACCCGCTCGTCTTCTGTTCTCGGCTCCAGTTGTGAGGCTGAGATCTACGCTGGGGCTATGGCTGCACAGGAGTTACGCTGGCTCACCTACCTGCTGACCGACCTTGGAGAGCAGTCTCGTTCTCCTCCAGTCCTGTACGTAGACAACAAGGCCATGCTGGCCTTGTGTCGAGAGCAGCGACTGGAGCACAGAACGAAGCACATTGCTCTCCGCTACTTTCTTGCTCGTGAGCTACAGCAGCGTGGACAGTTGCGACTTGCGTACGTGGCCTCTGAGGCCAACACTGCTGATGTCTTCACCAAGGCACTTGCGCCTTGTGATCATCAGCGTTGTTGCACGCAGTTGGGTCTTGTGCCTGTCTTGCCTCACTTGCTCTCCTCTTGACCTTGCTTGTACCTTCGCCTATATATACTCTTGCTCTTGCTTGCTTGACTCTTGTATATCTCTATATATGATCTTGCATGTGAACTGGCCTTCTGGCCTTTGAACTTGTGCTCGGAATGCGTGGTGACTTTGTGATCCACCCTGAGCTTTGCTTTGCTTTGCTTGACTGGTCTTGTGACCCCTTGTTCTCCCCCACTTTGCCTATGGGGGTGTGTCAGAACTTATAGCTTACTTGTTTCTGTAGGCTATAGTGGGGTATCCCATAGGGGGTACAACACAATTAGGGTTTCCTATTTGTATTCACTTCACTTCATAGTCATTCATTTTCTCGTTCACACTTTCTCACCAGCTGGAAGATCTTCCCGACGGCGCGCTCCCTGTAGGCCCTCCTACTGACGGCGCCCCCGCTCCCAAGAAGCTGTGCACTGAGAAAGGTGGCTCTGCCACCGTCCCTGGTTCATCCTCCTTGGCAGCCCACGCTATGAATACCCCAGCCCTGATGTCCAACGCGTACACTCTGCCATCTGCGCCCCTCGCAACCGCTCCGGCAGTCTCTCCTCTGTCCGTGGCCCCTCTCATCCCACCTGCGTACGCGGCTCCCTCTGCTGCCTCTTCGCGGCGATTTCGATTCCCGTTATGCCTCGCCGGAGACTTGCGGTGGTGGATGTTCTCTTCACTGACATCCCACTCCCCCCGCAGGATGACCCCTGCTTTCTCCGCATCCCCACTGTCATCAACTTCGAGGATAACTCCTCCCCGGCTCTGCTCCACATCTCCTCCCACGTGTGCTCCTTCTGCGACAATAATCACCGCGACGCTAACAACGAGATTTTCCCCACCAAGCGCAGGCAGCGCTTGACCAACAAGCAGCAGCTCTCGTTTGCCCAACTGCAGCAAGCCAACAGTAAGCCCGTCCCTTCTACCCCATTGCTATATGCCCTTCACCCCCTGGTCGTTGTCGCAAACCCTATTCCTATCTGGTTGTTCTGGCTTTGCCCGTGTTATCTACCTTCTCCTTGCTTGCCACCACAATCCGCCCCCTTGCTGCTCTCCCCACTTCGATTTCTGCCCCACTTCTATCTCAGGCCAGCTCCACGGCTCATGGGTTCTGCTTGCAGCCCCCCCCTTATTCCCTTCCCGCCTCCACCCTCCATGCTCTCCGTACCCCACCCTCCGCTCCACTTCCCATGCAGGACAATTTTCTGGTTCATGAGCTGCGCCTGCAGCCCCTCCTACCCCCGTCCTATCTCTCCTTGCCTTATCCTCCCTACCCCGAACTCTGCTTCCCCCCCCCCCCTCCTCTGGCCATTTGCTTGGCTCACAGGCGTTGCGCGCAACACTTTTAACCCCCCCAGCCCGCCTCTTCTCTTCTTACCCTCCTTTCTCCGAACACCCCATCTCTCCCTCATGCCCGTTTCTATGCTCATGTGTTGCAAATGCAGCACTCCCAGCTCCCCCTCCTCACAGATACCCCCCTTGTCCTCCCTGCCCTGTTCTCGGCCTTGGTTCCCTCTTAGGCCAGCCGCCTAGCTTCTTGGCTATGCTTGTACCCCTGACCCACCTCTATTTTCCCTGTCCTCTCTACCCCGCTCTCTATCCCACCTCTCTCTCAGGCCAACCTCCTTGCTTACGGGCTATGACTGCAGCCCTCCCCTCACCCCTAACCCTCCTTTACCCTCCTTGTCCTCCCTACCCCGTGGGCGACCCCACTTCCTTCTCAGGCCAGCCGCTCGGCTCATGGACCGCGCTTGCAGCCCTCCTCTCTCCCCAAACCCACCTCTTCCCTCCCTGTTATCCTCACCTGAAACCTTGACCCACCTCCCACTCGGGTCTACGTCTTGGCCTACTGAATGTGCCTGCAGCTCTCCCCTTTCCCCCAACCTGCCTCTTCCTATGCCCCACCTCCCCCCCAGGCTAGGCTCCAAGCACCCACTCCACATTTGCAAAGTGCTCTTGGCCCCCTGCCTGGCCCTTCCCTCGCTTCCCCTCCTCCCCCGTTTTCAGCCCAGAATTCCTCCATGGGCAGTTTCTTTTGCCCCCACATCACATTAGCTTCTTCCTCCATTTCCTTACTCTCTTGCTGCCCCTTAACTCCCCACCCCGTCCCTTGCCTTTCAGGCCAATTGCTCGGCTCCCGCGCCGCGCCTGCAGCCTTCCGCAACGATCCCGGGCTGCTCTACATTGGTCTCGACGTGGACGCCGAGCCATGGACTTGTGCCTTGCGGCGCCGCTCTCGACTCGGCTATGGCCCACATCGCTTCTGAGCTGCAACCCACTAAGAAGCTCTCAGCCCACCTCCCTGCCGCAAAGGAAAAGTACATTGGGTGGAAGGTTATGGCCTTTATTGCTCTTCCTCAGATCACTGACTTTCTTGCTCATATTTAGATCGGTGGTTGCTGGACGGTCTCAGACGGATACCTCTGCTTCGGTGTTGCTTTCACTCTGTTGCGTTTAGCAAAGTATCACGCTACTTGCTATCTTGTTATGGCCTTTGTTGCAACCCCCCAGGCTATCGACTCCCCTGCCCAGCCGAAGGTCGGTGGTTGTTAGACTTCTCCTTGTTTTTATCTTTGTCTTGCTGCAGCCTTAACTCTGTTGTGTACAACACAATTTGTCAGTAGATCTGCACTGTGGATGCCCGATTGATCCTGGAGAGGGTTACAGGCGCGCTCGCCTGGGGGGTTATGGGCGCACTGACCCGCTACTGAAACAAGCCCTTTTATCCCAATGGTCTAGTGGTTGGGATTCTGACATGGTATCAGAGCGGTCTCGGGTTCGATTCCCGGTGTATGCACATGTAGGCCGTTGCCGCTGTGCTTAGTCCTGGGCCTCCCAGTGTGGGGGGGTGTCAGTAGATCTGCACTGTGGATGCCCGATTGATCCTGGAGAGGGTTACAGGCGCGTTCGCCTAGGGGGTTATGGGCGCACTGACCCGCTACTGAAACAAGCCCTTTTATCCCAATGGTCTAGTGGTTGGGATTCAGACACAATTATATGCTACTTTATATCCTGCAACTTGTTTCTGCTCCACATGCACTTTAACCTAACGGACAAGAACATAATACTTCTATAAATCAGCCCGTGCATTCGCTCACCGTGGTGTGCAATGGGCTCTAACTTATCCATCATGATAACCCATCTTAGAATCCTATGCATAAACATCAACGGAATAAATGCCCCTTTCAAAATGAACGCTCTTAAAGGATGGCTCGATTTCTTCGGAATGAATATCGACATCCTTGTACTAGTTGACACTTGCCTTACCGACAATGTGAAAAGGCTAGACCTTCGCTTTCGCCCTCATGCCTATGCCCACACCATGGCCCGCTACTACAACGCCCCCGCGCACGTCCCTCCCCAAGAGGCATCTCTATTCTCGTCTTCAACAAGTCCATCTCTCTTACCTCATATACACCGTCAACCGACGGACTTCTTCTCGCGGTCGACGTCAACTTCCATCACGAGCACATAAGGCTCATAGCTATATACGCACCGCCTCATGCTATCGACAGACGCCCTTGGTGGCGCTCACGCCTCGCGCCGATGCTGGACTCTCCATCGGCTGCGTCAGCTACCTTACTCGTTGAGGACTTCAACTCTGTGATCCACCCCTTACTGGTCGGGGTGGCTCTGCGCAGCGGGGCGGCTTCGGCGGTGGTCAGCGCCAGCAGCAGCAGCGCACTGGTGCGACCCCGCCCCCCCAGCAGCTTCGTGAGTGGTACGCTGCGCGTCAGCGGGGTGGGGGTGCTGGTCTTTGTGCCTACGTCCTGCGTACCGCCGATTGCACAGGTGAGCCGTGCGGTGGCCCGCACACCACCCAGCGCTGCTTCGGCCGCCTGACGAACGCTTGGTGTCTCCAGTTCCCTGACGCCACTGAGATCTCTCGCTGGGGCGAGCTGCTTAGGTCGGGGGTTGCTATCTTGATCTGGATTATGATGCCATTCTTGCTGCCATGTATGTTGTGTCTGCTAGTGATGAGGGTGACTGTTACCTGTGTGTTCCGCCTGACCCAGGCATTGAGGCTGCTGCTCTAGGTGCTGGTGAGGCTGCTGCTCTAGGTGCTAGTGCGTCTGCTGCCCCAGGTACTGGTGCGTCTGCTCTCTCAGATACCACGTCGGCTCAGGCCTTACACACCTTCACCCTTGACTCAGGTGCTTCCCGCTCCTTCTTTCGAGACCGCACCACGCTTGCGCCGCTTAGTCGGCCAGTTGCGGTCTCCCTAGCGGACCCCTCTGAGGGTCCTGTCCTTGCCCAGTTTTCCACTGTCTTACCGTGTCCGGCGGCCCCCTCTGGCACCCTGTCAGGTCTCTACCTCCCCTCGTTCTCTACGAACTTGGTGAGTGGTGCTGATGGACAGGATGGGGGGGTTGACCAGTTCACTCCTGCGAGTCAGCGGGTGACCCACTGTACGTGTGCTCGGACGGGCTGACACTTGGCCACGTTTACCCATCAGCCGGGGTCGAGCCTGTACACACTGACTACTGAGTCTCCTCCGGTTGCTGAGTCTGGTCAGGTAGCTGCGTCGGGTCAGGTGTTTGCTGCAGCATCCAGGTCTGGTCCTGAGTCTGCTCCCTGCTCGTGTCGTCTCCTATCCCACCGGACTCTCCTCTAGCACCACCGCCTTGGTCACCCCTCGATGCCTCGTCTCTGAGGCATGGCCTCCCGTTACCTTGTCTCTGGTCTCCCCCGGTCCCTCCCTCCCCTCCCTCCGGGGCCTGCCCCTACCTGCGTTCCCTGCGTCGAGGGGCGGCAGCGCGCCGCCCTTCACTCCTCCGAGTTTCCTCCGACAGAGGCTCCGCTGCAGACTCTTCACATGGACGTATGGGGCCCTGCCCGCGTCCGTGGCCAGGGTCACGAGCGTTACTTCTTGTTGGTGGTTGACGACTACTCGCGTTACACCACGCTGTTCCCCTTGCGCAGCAAGGGTGCCGTCATTGAGGTGTTGATCGACTGGATTCGTGCAGCTCGTCTCCATCTCAGAGAGAGTTTCGGCTCAGACTTTTTTGTTCAGCGTCTGCACTCAGACAGAGGCGGGGAGTTTTCTTCTGGCTTTCTGGGAGCCTTCTGTCGTGCACAGGGCATCCGCCGAACGTTCACGCTTCCGGCCTCTCCACAACAAAATGGGATTGCTGAGCGCCACATTGGCATGGTCATGGACGTCGCTCGTACGTCCATGATCCATGCGGCTGCTCCCCATTTTCTGTGGCCGTTTGCGGTTCGGTACGCAGCGCATCAGATCAACCTTCAGCCCCGGGTCTCCTTCCCAGAGACCTCCCCCACCTTGCGGTGGATGGGGAAGGTTGGCGATGCGTCTGCGTTTCGTGTCTGGGGATCTCGGGCGTTCGTCCGCGACTTGTCTGCGGACAAGCTGTCCCCCCGTGCTCTTCCCTGCGTCTTCCTTGGCTTCCCCCCTGACGCGCCTGGTTGGCAGTTTTACCACCCCACCTCGCGCCGTGTTCTGTCCTCCCAGGACGTCACGTTTGACGAGCCGGTTCCTTACTATCGTCTCTTCCCCTACCGCTCTGCGCCCCTCCCCCCGCCGCCGCTCTTCCTTGCGCCAGGTCCCCCCCCGGTAGACCCTCTGCCCCCTCAGGGTCCTGCCCCGTGAGGTGTGTCCCAGGTAGACGCAGTCGAGCCTGACGAGGTAGCTGTTGACTCTGGTGCTGCTAGGGGTGCTGAGCCTGGGGGTGCTGAGTGTGGGGGTGCTGAGCCTGGGGGTGCTGAGCCTGGGGGTGCGGAGCCTGGGGGTGCGGAGCCTAGGGGTGCTGAGCCTGGGGGTGCTGGGTCTGCTCGTGTGGCCTCTGGCGGTGCCGCATCCGGGGGTCCTTCGGGTGCTTCGTCTCGGCGGGAGCTACCCTCTCCACAGGAGCTGCGCGAGTGGTTTGCCCGGAGCTGGAGCTGTGCTGCTGGAGCTGGAGGTGCTACTGTTGCTGCTGACCCTGGGGTCGGCGCTGGAGGTAGTGGAGCCACTGGTCCCGGAGGTGCTCGTACTAGCGGTACTGGAGTTGCTGGGACTGGGGGTGCTGCTGGGGCTGCTGGAGTTGGTCCTGCTGGAGGTGCTGCGGGTGCTGCTGGAGGTACTGGAGCTGCTTGGGGTGTTGGCGATGGAGGTGCTGCTGGCGCTGGTACTTCAGAGGGTGCTGGAGTTGGCGCTGCTGGAGCTAGAGGTATTGCTGGCGCTGGTGCTGCCGCTGGGGGTACTGGTGCTGTCCCTGCTGTTTCAGGAGGCGCTGAACGGCCGCGGCCATACTTCGTTCCGCTCCTTGAGCAGGTTCTTGGTCTCCCGCCTTCTACTGGTCCTGCTCCTCTCTTAGAGTGTCCACAGCCTGTCAAGTCGTAGTCACAGTTACAGCCCGCCTCCCCCCTGCCTGCTCCTTCTCCCTACACTAGTCCTACTGGAGGTCTTGCTAAGCGTGCGTCTCGTCCTGCGTCGCCTGTTCGTGCTGCTCGCACTAGTAGTCGTGTTCCGCGTCCACGTACTCCTGCGGTCCCAGGCACACACCAGATGGCACTGCGTCCTTCCACTGCTCCTCTGCGTGTCCCGTTGCCGTCTCCTCAAGAGTCCTCTCTTCCTGTTGTTGCTGACCCGGAGTCTGACTCTCTTCGTGCTGCCAGTCCTACTGTCACGCGTCTCCTGGCTACTGTTGTCACTGACCCTTCCTTTAAGTCCACTACTGTGTCTGCCTTAGTTGCTGAGCTTGTCGACTTTGCTGCGCGCTATCGTCAAGTCTACGCCGCTAGTCTTGTTGCTGAGTCTGAGTCGGTCTGTCCTCCGTCCGTCGGGGGTGAGTGTGCTCTTAGCACGGACGTCCTTGAGGATAGGTAGGAAGAGTTCCAGTGTTTTGCTGCTGCTTTGCCTCATCTCGTGTCCATGCTAATCGCCCCTGAGGGAGAGCCGGATGCGCCAGACATCACGACTCCTTGATCGTACGCTGAGGCGATCGAGGGTCCCTACTCCTCACAGTGGCAGTCAACCATGGACGCAGAGATGGCTTCCTGGAAGTCCACAGGCACCTACGTCGACGAGGTTCCCCCACCTGGGGCGAACATCGTCAGTGGCATGTGGATTTTCAGGGTGAAGCGGCCGCTGGGTTCTCCGCCTGTCTTCAAGGCTCGTTACGTGGCTCGAGGCTTCAGTCAGCGGCAGGGAGTTGACTACTTTCAGACCTTCTCTCCCACCCCGAAGATGACCACTCTTCGGGTGCTGCTGCACATAGCCGCTCAGCGCGACTACGAGCTCCACTCTCTTGACTTCAGCACAGCT